AGTACCCCTTCTTCGACTACGACCTTCTTGTGGAATCCTGCTTGATAAGTACTGCCGTGTAATTGCATTTGATGGAACAATAGAACGTCAACAGCCAGCCAACTCCATATATAGAAACTGCCTAAGAAATTTTAAATAATGCAAAAACAAAACTTTTTCGTTTTGTCGAAATCCTTCCAGAAGGAAGAAAATCTGGTGACGTAACCGGGCCTGACCTTTGCTCTCGTTCCCGTTCAATAGTTCCTCGTAATTTGTAGCGAACCTATGAACAAACTGAACTGCCACTGAACTCGCGCCCACTGAGCAAACAACTTCTCACATGGCAGTACGAGGTCGACTTGTGATCTTAGCGCTGTCATTCGTGTAACTGTTCGTGGCGATGTTCGTCGCTACAGTAATCGCTCTGGTCCTCTTCTACAGCCGCCTTCTTCATTGCTGTTCTATACTTAGTACGTTTTCCGCATAAATGAGAAGAAATACTCGCTTCGCCCATATTGCCGCTATAAAATATTATTTTCGCTATCACAACGTAACTACTGTACGCTATGAGCCTTAGAAATTTCAAAGTATTAATTCAAAGCTATAAAGTTTAAGTTTGGTGCAACGATATTGGCCTCACCTATGAACATGAGGCCAATATCGTTAGGTTTTAAGACAGCTTTTTCGAAAATCGCTGCTGAATTTGGAGTTCTCTGAATTGGCATCTCGCCACTCTTTGCCTCCGGAGAATAAACCTTCCTGTCGACGCTCGAAATCTTATCGCGAGTGAAAAAATTTGGCTTCGATTCGGAATAATAGCTGCTGGATGCATATTTGACACACATCTGAGCTGCGGGCGGAATTGGCGTAGCGGAACCGCACGCTTACCACGCGAAATAAGTGAATATGGCTTCTTAAGCGCGAAGCATTATGCAACAGTTTATGGAAAAGGTTCCGCTAGTAGAAAGCGAAGGCTGTGTGAGTTCTCCTAAAAACTTCAAGTCAAAATAACTCGAGAACTGGTGGAATTCCCTGAATTTTTGCTAGTTGCAACATTAGATATTGAGGTGTGGGGTCCCCAACTAACGTTGTTCATTTCAGATCGAACCGATTTTTTACGCGAAGAAAAATTGTTGAAGAAGATGCTGTTTGAAGACTACGATCCGAAACTTCCTGTCATCTCAACCATTGGTATTTGGTAACATTTTTGCAAAGGGGCATTAATTAGACACTTCTTCTTCTTTTGCGACAGCCGACAGCTAAAGATATCTACATTATCATGTGAAAAGATAAAAACATGTTTTTCAGTGAACTCCTCAGAAACTGATGGAGTCAACCTACCACGATTCGAGATCACCCTTGCTTTAGGCTATCTGAAATTGATGCGAATGGTGAGTTCTTTTTTTAGAGCATCTAGCGTATTCCTAGACACCCCTGCTCATTGACGTATACGTATTTTAGGTCGAATCTGAACAAAAAGTCGACTTCATATTTGAATATCAAATGGTAAGCTGTAACCAGTAACGTAATGCATAAGAGTATTTCCCAGTCACGATTCGGATAATCGGCAAAGTCGACTGTGTGTTGAGAAAAGGACAGAGGCAACGCTGAGAAATATGTACAGGGGGGCCAATAAAAAAAGACATTTTGTCTCCAGACTCAAATGGATTTAATCACACTTTGCTCAGCTCAAAGCGTGTGCTCCCAACTTAGAATTGAAGAGCGCATTTCATTTCATAAGAAAATCTTCATAGTGGCCATCTACGTGGACGGCATCAGAAAATTTGCCCCGGAAACATGGTGCTCTGGTCGAGCTCAATGGGGTTCTCGACTGATCGTGTACCGTTACGACGGGTTCCGAAGGGTTAGAGCTAATGTCCCTAGGAAACTATCCCACGTTGAATCGATCCAAGAAATTATGTAAGAGCTTCAGGCTGAAGCAGTTACTGTAGGCCTCCCTGAGCTCGACGGCAGATGACGTCATATTCCTGAAGACGGTGAGGGTAGTGAAGGAAGACTTTTGCCCCATCCCTGTGCATCTAGGGTTACTACGTGGGGTATTACTTGGCCTCATTCGAGTTTCGTTCTTTTAGCGACCCTCCTCCCCCCCCCCTTCCTCGCTTGGGTATACTCATAGATAGTTAGATTGATGCAAAATGGAATGGAGAGGCCAATGTTCTCTGAAGCGACTCGCGTGCACGTTTGGCAAAAATCCGAACGCTTACAGAGGGATTTTCCATAAGTTTGCCGCTTAATAACTATTGGTTTATTTGCGTTGTTTTGTTGTTGTCACATTATTTATTTGGTTTTTTTTTTATTTATGTCCTTTTTTCGTGACTGAAAAACAGCACAAAGTATGGCCATTTTTTTTGAAATTCAACTAATCTGTTTGAATGGCGCAAACCTACAGCCTGTTTAGGAATGGGACGATGAACGCCTGGCATGGGATCCGTCAGAGCACTGTGGATTGAGTCACGTCCACGTACCTTTTAGTGATGTTTGGATTCCAGAGGTGACCACGACCCAGGCGTGAGTCATTCGAATCACCATTTTTCTCATTCCAAAGCAACTTCGCTTCTTCTTGTTCCCAAGGCCTTTTATCAAGATTCGCCGCCCCAAGAAGAGATGATCGTGATATATTAGTGATTTGATTTCGGCAAATATATAACACGTTGGTGGCGCCGAGATGGCCTTTTTTTGTGGGTATAGGGCCCCCAACAATGGGCCATCTGCCGTGTTTCGCCTCAGCTGCACTTAGGTCTAACTGCTCGAGACGGTCAGATAATAACAAATCGTTTCGCCGAACCGAAATATCACAACGTGGATAGCACCGCCTGCTCTGCTACATTTCAGCATCAAGATACCACGCAAAACTACAGTTGGATGTTCCAATGACTTCCGAAGGTAGGATGAACTCCAAAGGCTATCGTATCCTTCTAGGCAGACCAGTTGGATGACATAGTTGAAGTGTGAGACAACGAATTTGGTTCGGGTCGGGTGTGCCAACTGCCTACTGATCTCGGGTCCCTTACTCCACCCCTCCTTTAGACCGCCCGAATCTGCCCATCCCCTATCAACTGTCTACGAACAACTTGCTAGTCAATCCTTTCTAAATGCGCTGTTCACACACGCTCACACTCGCTCTCCTTCTAAATGGTGTTCAAACGTCAATACTTCACCTTCATTTTTCCAGACACTCTTCGCAGGACATTCGTGAAGATTATAAGAAGTATGTCACGGTGAGACATCATATCACATAAATAAACTACAAACTAAGACACGTTCGTCGGAACTTTCGCACACAGCCACAAAATTACTTTCAGATAACCAGCGAAGGGCGCTTGTTGTTCTTTGTACCCACAGTGACATCAGTTCTATGCTCCATCAAGGTGGGTTGAATGCATCACTAATTTTTTCATTCACCAAATATCTAAGGAGAGTGGTGCTGAGTGTGATACGTAGAGGACAATTGAGCCTCCAGCGTACCACTCATAAGATATCATAACGTTTCCGCCCTTCGTTGTCTCGTGACATGCACAAGGCGTGATCATATTCACGAGCTTGTTTTTGTCAAGAATTTGGTTTCTTCGCCATTCTTAAGACCATTTTTCAGGTCCGCGACTTCCCTTTCGATAGCCAGCTGTGCTCAATCAAACTGATGACGCATTCGTTTACGAGCAGCGAATTCGGTATAAACCTCACGATTCCGACAACACTCGAAAGCGCTGCTCCCATCGAAGCTATGGTAGTTTGTTTGATTCACTTGGCCAGATTTCTCTGAGAGCATTGTGGTAACATATGTTTTACAGAAGGTTTTGGTCTCGTATGGGACACGTACCCACACCACCAGGCTTTATCGGAACTGTGCTTATTCACCACACCATCAAGCGTAGTATTCCCAACCCTTTGTCGGCTGATCTTGAACTAGTCCCTTATAAACATGTACATATGAGTGCTCTCAAGGGTACCTGACAAGAGGCTCGTCGCAAGGCAAGAAGGCAGAGTCAGCGGACGAGTCGCAGCGCGTGATGTGCGATGTAGGACGTACAATGGCACATTCTATTTAACTTGACGCGAAATCACTACAGTACGCGCTGCGACTCGTCCGCTGACTCTGCCTTCTTGCCGCGCGACGGGCCTCCTGTCGGGTACCCATGCTCCAGTGGTTAAGCGCGGATAGTGCCGGTAGTGTAGATCGGTAGTGTAGTGGATAGGCACTGCTCCAGCAAAGCATAGGTGTGGGTTCGGTGCACGTCTGGCGGAACTTCTCAACGAAAGCAGAAAAATCTTGTTATTATATCATACCTATCTCGAGTTGTACTCATAATACTATGAGATTAGACGATAACAGTGAATCTGAGTGGACTTGTCGCTGCTTCTCGACAGCTATTGAATCTTCGAGAAGTTGGTCCATTTTCGAATGTTGAAGGCACCCGTTTCGTCGCTTCCCGTTGATTATATACAGTTCATGATTTATTCACAACTTTTGATTAACCTCGTTCGAGTGTACAAGAAGGTCCCAGTCGATTTCCATTCAAAAGCTCTTGTACTTGAAAATGCATTTGCTTCAGCAAAATATTATTGCAGGAGCCTGCTAGTGTAATGTGATGTCATTTTCTTAAATGAATCTCGTAGGAAACAAAAGGAGGTAGCAATCCGAGTTGCTACGGGTAGAACCCCGAATTTGATCCCTTCTATTCAGATCTGATCATAGGGCTAGGCTTATGGCGCAGCGTCAACTGTAACTTCCTATAACTTGTTTTCGATGAGATAAAATTGTGGGGATCTAATAAAATAGTAAACATATGTATGATGTAGCCATGAAAAATATCAAAACTGAAAGTGAAATCGCCGCACCGTGCAGCGCCAACTGAAACTTCCCTACCTCCCGTTTCGATAAGATTAATTGTAGTATAATAAAGTAGTAGAACATATGTGTGATGAGCCATGGAATGATAGCTATCGAAAGCGAAATCGCGCAACTGGTAAATACTGATTAGTTCGCAATTTTTCCAGGGAAATGGAGAGTGGCAAATGAAACGCGTGGAAATAGGCTCAGAAAGAGTCGAATTTGAAGACGGATCCGCGGTTGAAATAGTAAGTTGTCTTCGTACTTCGATAACTAACCAAACTACATTTCTATTCTACAGCTATCCGAAAATCAATTCATGCTTTTAGGGCCGCTTCGATTTCTATATGCAGAGAAATCCATCGTTTTATGTAGCCATCGTCATCATGCCTTCTTTCATTATCAATATTTTGTGCATCTTGGGACTATTTCTCAGCGGTGCAAACCACATGTCAAAAGTAAGTTTCACGATTGTGATAGTGAAGAATTCGTTAGCCAATTTCCTCAGCTAGGAGGATAAGGAATTAACTGTAGAAATCCTGACTATAAATAGGGCAGGCTCAAGTCAGTCAAGAATAAGGTAAGTAAATTCTAAATTGCTTAAAAGAGCTTTTGAGTAACATAAAGGCCATGTCTCGGGCATCGGTTGGGGCCCAGAAGTAGTACCTGAGGATCTTATCAGATGAGTGGATAATCAATCCCTACCTTTTGAAATGAGTGAGAGCTCAAGCGGTAAAGAGCCGATCCGCAAATATCAGAATCAGAATATCTGGTGATTTAGCCCGTCTGAATAGCACATTTGCACCATGCCATCTGGAGCCTCTTGGAGCGCAAAGTCTGCTCAAACCAACGTCGCAGTTTAGACTCGTGCAAGGCTTCCTAGGAAGAAGCATGGGCGATACTCGGGGAGAGCTACTTTCGGGCCGACAGAGTAGCACCGGTCAGTGAGAGGCCCGTGGCCTGTACGGCTAGTTGGGAAGCCATTTTTAGCATTTTCATTGTTAGCGCAGCTCATATATCTTGTGCTGTATA